CTTCGGGAAGTCCTCGGAGCATCTGGAGGACTAGTTGGTGCTGAGAGACCGGTGCATCGACATCATCTAACAAGATTTTGGAGTTGTTGACAATAGGCCGCCATGGAGGTGGAGCCCTTGACGGTGGTGCGAAATTCATGCTCCAACTGCATGGCCCGGGCATTTTTGTTGTCGTGAAATAGGTCGTGGATGACCTTCCAGAGAGCAGAAGCAGTGGTGAGAGAAGAGATTACCAGATCTGAAACTTCGTCGGTGATGGTGGAGAGAATCCAACCCTGGAGAAGGGCATCGAGTTGGCACCATTCGTCATCCATTGAGGTATCCCTGAAGGTTAAATCGCCGAACGAGGAGGAGGAACAGACGACTCCACTTTTTGTAGTTCGGTTGTGAGAGACTGAGTTGAACGGGAACATGCAACCTCACATTAAAGATAGTTGTGAGAGCAAGATGAGGGGTTTTGGAGGACATATTTTGGGAAATAACCTCACTATTTTCGGCCATGGAGAGAGGGGAAGAGAGAGGGCCGCCGGGAGGGAAGCAGTGTCGCCGAGAGAGAAGGTCACTGAGGGGAGTCTGACATGCGCCGGTGTCTGCTCACGTCATTGGAGAAGAGAGAAGTGTGACGCGCGCCGGTGGCTGCTGACGTCGTTGGAGAAGAGAGAAGTCTGTCGCGCGCCGGTGGTTGCTGACGTCGTTGGAGAAGAGAGAAGTCTGACGTGCACTAGCCAGGTAGCTGCTAACGTCGTTGGAAAAGAGAGAAATTGACGTGCGCTAGTAGCTACTAACGTCGATGAAGAAGAGAGAAGGTTGACGTGCGCTTGTAGCTACTGACGTCAAAGAAGAATAGAGAAGGCTACTGGACGTGCGAGTTTGACTGAAGATCCTTGACATTTTTTCTCTTTTTCTTGGATCCGGGCAATGCCCTATTTCCTTCTTGAAGGGGTGAGTTGTAGAGGTCTTATTTCCTCTTTCACTACTTCCCCGCTTTGCTTTTGTGCTGATTTACTTTGGATTTTTATTGGTTGAACAGAAGATAAAAAGAAGGGAGATTGATGATTAGAATGAGTTATTTGAGAGAGAAAAAAGTGGGTTAAGAATTGTGATGGAAAAAGAATTTGGGTCTTAGATTTTGATATGGTGAATTAGAGAGAAACAACAATATTTTTTTTTGAGAAGATAGGATGATCTCAGAGAATTTGTGAGGAATTGGGGTTTTTTTTGAAGAACCATGGAGATGACAAGAGATAAGTTCCTCCTTTGATAGTTTTTTTTTGTGTGATTTCAACAATGGTTTTTTCTCTTTTCTTTCATTTGAGTGGAGAAGTTGATTTGAGGATAAAGAAGGAAAAGAAAATAGAGCTAAGGTGAACAGGGTGTGCTTCGTTCTGTCTCCCTTGATATAGCCTTCCTTGATCTGAGCTATGCATGCTGCATTGTCTTCATATATAATTGTAGGATTCTTCTTGATTTCTTCCAAACCGCATGCTCCTTGTATATGATCAATCATCGATCTCAACCAAACGCACTCTCGACCAGCTTCATAAAGTGCTACCAATTCAGCTTGATTTGATGATGTTGCTGTTAGAGTTTGCTTTGTTGACTTCCA